GGGTGGAAGGAAGACGGCGAGACTCCAGTCAAGCTACAGTGGTTGTGGAGTCTGTGGTGGTTGTGGTGTCTGGTGCAGTGGTCCTCGGCGCAAGCTAGGAAGTGTCCATCAACGAAGGATACTCGGTCGGAGTACAGGGAGCTCTGTTACAGAGGGAGTGTGCAAGGCAAGTGGGGGTGAGTGGGATAGGATTAGGGGGATAATGTGGCAGGGTGAGTTTGGCATGATTGGGGGAAAAAGTGACAGGATTGGAGAGGTTAATGTGATGGGGTGAGTGTGACAGGATTGGAAGGGTTAATGGGATAGGTAGCAGAGCTAGGTCAGGTAAGTGTGGTATGATTGGAGGGGGTGAGAGTGACAAGATTACCCTGGTTAATGTGAATTTGGCATGATGAAGGAGGTGACTGTGTGTGGGAGGTGCTGGGGAGGCTGTGTTTCAGTGATCAGCCTCCTCACATTAAAATGTTTTTATTTTTACAGTAATCTATTCTATGGTGGTCCAGTTGTCTCCCTCCCTGGTGGTCTAGCGATCTCGCTATCTGATCTGCAGCCTGTTACTGAGTTGTCATATACTAAAGGTAGGGTTTTTGTTTCTCATTTTATTATATATATACACTTCATTTAAAGGATCATTGCACATCTATAATGCACTTAAGATTTCTGGAGTGCTTTATATGTGAGGAATATCCTATTTTAACCTCCGTGTATGAAGGTGCTGGTTTCTAAGAGACTTTTATAATAAATGAACCACTCCATCTGTCAATCAGACAACCAGGGAGGTTTGCTTGCTCCTTCCATTAGCTCCCCTGAGCTAAGTGAAGTGGCAGGTACCTTCCCCCACATACATCTTTATCAGACGTCAGATCAGAACGTTGTACAGTGCACTCGTGCGCATTGCAGACAGACGCTCACAGAAGGAGAGCTCGAGAGGCTTCGCAATAAGAAGCCTCCGATCGGCTATTTCCCCACGAAGAGACTGTTAGTCTCTTCCAGGGTAAAAAGGGAGGCGTTACAAAGGCTGCAGTTCAAAGGTACTGCAGCTTTTCCAAACTCTTTGCACACATGTATTCATGACGGGTATATCTAATAAACATTATGTATTTGTGACAAACACCGATTTTCACAGATGTTTGCCACGAACTTCTGGAGGAGTGTGGAAGCTGGCCTCCTGCCTACCGACTATAGGCCAGTTGAGCGACTGTAAAGACCCATATGTTGTTCCCCTGGTTCGGTACTTTCCATTTGTGTGCATAGAACCGAACGCTTGTTCCCTGGCGGTCGTTCGCATGGATCAAAACCGCGAATAGACTTCGGAGGGACTTAGCCACAAATGCCATGGAACTATTTTCGGCATGAAGACTTTGCAGTTCCCCGTTGGTCCCCAGCAGCACTTAGCCGTGATTCTATGGAACTATTTTGGACAAAGGACCATGCGTGCGGTCGGTCAAATTATGACTTCCAGGAAATCCCTGAACCAATCTGGGTGATTTTTGGATATGTTGGTCACCCAGATCAGTGGATGTAACGTTTGTGGGGATTTTGTATATTTAAAGGTATTTTGGGGGTTTTGTAAAAATTTGTTTTCTGTGCCTGGAGATAATTGAGTTTAATACAGTGCTTGCTTCAATTAGATGCTCCACGTCAAACTCACCCAGGAAGCACCTCTAGTGGCCATCTGAGTGACTGCCACTGGAGATGTCACTAGGAAGCAGTGTAATTTGAAAATGACTGCAGGGACAGACTATACTCACCAGAAAAACTGCATTAAACTGTAGTTTTTCCGGTGACTATAGTGTCCCCATAAGGCCAGAGTAGTCAAATTGGAAGCATGGCTGACTTAGAGAATTTTTCCAGCTCGGCTACTTTGACCTTAAATTTGAAATTCACTTTGCATTCTCACTTCAGCGAGTGTTGTTAGTGTTTAAACTGCTCAAAAACACTGAATGCAGGGACATTTCCAGGGGACTCAGGCAACTCACTACAAACACATTTTATTTACCTGTTAATGAGAAAATGTCAGATGGGAAACAGAATCCTTGTTGTTGCTTTCAGACCGTTTGTTAGAGAGTGTTCTCGTTATGAAATAAGACAGCAGTGACTGGAATTTTAATTTGGTTTATCCTTTAAAATAGGCTACTGTGACATCAAAGCAAAATTATATTATTAGTATAGATGTATGTGACGAGAGCAATCTCGCCACATTGCATTGGAGAAGCCCGCCTGCTGCCTTTGGACTATGGACCAGACTTTATGTAAATGTGTTATACCCCAGATAGGAATCCCATGGAGCCCATTCGTATGAAACTGACTGTAAAGACTTTGGCTCCATGGCGATTAAACTGTATTCGTATGGTCTGACTGCCATTCACTTAATAATGTGCGCTCAGACCTGAGCTATCTGGGGATATGTTAGATGTATAGTTTTAATGTAATGTGTCTTACCTGGTGTATTTTAATAGTAATGCTTGTTTTAGTATCCCCTTGTGCATAATGGAGATTTGCCTTTGTCTTGGGAGATAATTGAATTACTTCTCAATTATCTCCCAGGGCAGAGAGGAGGAAGCCAGGATGCATTGTGGGAATATACTGTGACTGTGTGTCCTATTTGTCTGCTTGTCTGTCCCTTGTCACAGTCTCCCATTTGGTCCCCTAGGGGAGTGTCCACCAGGTGGGAGACCTGCATAAATACTGGGCAGGTAGCCTTCATTAAACAGACCACTGCTTGACCCCCAACACGGAGCCTTGTCTCGTCTTTGGGGGGATTTACTGTATGCTGATAGAGACTGATTGCCAGGAGTGTAAGCCGCTTGGGAGCTTTTCCTGTTCGTCTGGTAGCAGCAATTCGTATGGTTCCTGTTCGTCTGTTTGGAGTGCTATATTGGATGCAGTTCGAGTGTTTGAAGCATTCACTTATTGTATGCAGTTCGAGTGTTTGGAGCATTCACTTGTATTCAATTCGTGAGTTTTGGTGATTCTACAGTAGCTGTGCCTGTCTCTGAATGGGGATTATCGTCTAAGCGTTTTTTTCCCCTTTTTTGCAAAACGGTCCGTTACAATGTACATCCTTTAATTTATATACATTCACCTTTATACATTCATTCATACACATTTACTCCTCTATTTACATGTATATACATTCAGCCACTCTAGACTTTGTTTACACAATTCTGGCTACATTGCATCCAGATTTTGGTTAAATAATCTGGGGCATTGAGAAACAAAAACTGACCATTATTCACAAAATGTAACCAGGGCCGGTTCAATGATATTTGGCTACACAGATGAAGATGCATTGTGAGTAGAGTTGAGCGAACCCAGACTGTAAAGTTCGGGTTCGTACCGAACATTACATTTTTTGTACCCCGGACCCGAACACGGACAAATCACTGTATATTCGGGTTGGAGTTCGGCGATTTAATGGTGCGTTTTGAAAGGCTGCAGGGCAGCCAATCAACAAGTGTTTGATCGTGTGCCCTTAGAAGCCATCACAGCCATGCCTACTAATGGCATGGCTGTGATTGGCCAGTGCAGCATGTGACCCAGCCTCTATATATAAGCTGGAGTCGCATAGCGCCGCACGCACATGCGGTCTTATTAGTGTAGGGAGAGGATGCTGCCGCTGTGAGGGACAGCTTAGGAAAGAATTCTGCAAACTAGTACATTAGTGGGGTGCACTTCATATCTGAGAGTCAAATAGAAGCGTCAAATACTGCTGTCACATTGAAGTTTTAAAACTTAAAATTTTTTGGGTGCTAAACTGCTAAATAGTACATTTTGGGGGTGCACTTCATATCTGAGAGTCAAATAGAAGCATCTAATAGTGCGCTTACTGCGCAGTTGTAAACATTCTAATTGTTTTGCTGCTTACATTGGAGTTTTAAAAACCAAATATAAAAAAAAAAAAAAAAATTGGTGCTAAATAGTATATTTGGGGTGTTCACTTCATATCTGAGAGTCAAATCGAAGCGTAACTTTGATTCAAATTTACTACATCGGTCACTTGTAATATTGTTTCACACCTACAACACTTGTTACACAGATCTAAGTGATAGAAAACAGATTGATAACAAGCTGCTATATTTAAACCAGTTATCCATAGCTAAGAGGTACTTAAACAATATTGTAATTCTGGGGCAATGCTCTCATAAGTCAAACTGAGAGGTCAGTTTATAAGGAAAACTGTTGCCTGGAGGAAATTCTAAAACAATTTCCATATGTCCTTTGCAGACTTTACATGCTGGAAAAACACAGGTGCCAACTGCTGTGGCTTTCTGTAGTGTGCATACCGGCAAGGAGGGCAGGGTTGAGGAGTGGGTGGAAGATGATGTGAAGGATGATGAGGTCCTAGACCCCACATGGAATCAAGGTCATGTGAGTGACGTGTGCAGTTTGGAGGAAGAGGCACTGGTTGCACAGAGGCACCAGCACAGCATAAGAGGGAGCAGGGTGCAGAAGCGGAGTGGCCGTCCCCTAGCGCTTGTCGGCATGTATTATCTTTAGAATTCCCTCAGTTATCCAAGTAACAGATGGAGCGATAAAAGGAACCATAACAGATTTAACGAGCCATTCGCAGTTTTACAGTGAGGAGGGCAGTCCGGTGACCAGGACCAAGACACTGTCTGGGCGGCGGTCAGACGACCGGGACCCAGTATGTTTGATGTTGAAGTTAGGAGTCACAGTGTGGAATGGATTAGCAGGGTCTGGTGCAGGGTAACTGCACGCCCCCTGGTGTTGAGCACCAGCGTTTGTGCGGCCACATACCAGGACCCTAATGCAGCTTCAGTAAAAAGAGTACTGGATCCCAGAAGCCATCACCAGACTGATCCGCAACTTGGAACAGGATGTGACATTCACTGTAGCGGCTGTGCGCGCTTTTGGCATTCTCACCCTGCTGCTGCTCACCTGTCTGCGCTGCAGCGTAACTTCAGCCTTCCTGCTCATCGCCTCATGAGACTGTGCGAGCAGCAGCAGGCGATAGTGGAGTTTCAGCTGCAGTACGCACGGGTCAGTGGCTCTGCACCAGACTTCCCTCCAATTTAAAGGATTTCAAGTGGACTCATTACAATTACAGGGCCTTTAAAGAGTCCTGTATTGTTATTTGTCGTCACTTCCCGGCGTCGGGAGTGGGTCATTTGCGCGCCTGCTGCCTTCCTTACAATCCTGTATGGAATGGAACCCTGATTCCCCGTTACCCGTGGTCACCATGATAGGCACAGAAACTGGCATCAAAAGTTGATATGGATGACATCCAAATGCAAAGTTCCTGTCACAGGGATGTGCGATTGGCCCGAGGTTCTCTAGAGTCAACTAAGTGCATGTCAACAGAGTGGTTGTTTTTTTTTATATGTCCCAATATTTGGGGGGCTACCCCAATTAAAATAAAATATATATATATATATATATATATATATTAAACAGTGTTGGCTACCTCATCGTCTTCCTCCACCTACACCGCCACCTCAACCTTTGGATCACTTTAGTATTAACTGTGCACAATAGCAGAGGCTTGTGAATGCCTTTTCTCCATGCATCAGGAGTTGAGCTCAGTTTGAACAATGAAAGAGAATATACTGCACTCCAACCCTCTCTCAAATGGATAATATTGGTGATCCTCCTGACAGCTATGCTTTAGATTTTGATTTATGTTCTTCCAAAGCTAAAATCAAAGATTCCATCTAGTGCTATTTTATGGCTCAGCTGTATTTTAAATTTTTTTCAAAGTTCGGCCGGACCCGAACATCCAGGTGTCCGCTCAACTCTAATTGTGATATATCTGTTGGATGTGTGTGGTGGATGTTTATTTTCATTTAAATCAGTTGTTTTAAGAAATTGCCCCCTCCTGCTCACCTTTTTTATAGGGAGAAGGATAAAAGATTTGTCTATTTCCACTAGTAATCCAGCAGGTTTAACAATGAATCCCTGTGTTCCTGTGTTCTTTTGGCTATTTTTGTGTATTGACCCGGCTTGCCTTTGACAAATCTGATTTCTGGTTCCCCTAAATTGGCTCGTTCCTCGATTAAGTGTACTTCTGTACTCCTTTGACCTCGGCATGTTTCTGGCTTTCCTAGCACCTTTTAGTCCGGCCATTCTAAGGACCGGTATAAGGTCTCTCTCTATCTGTCTTTGTAGTTCAGGTGATTTTCACCCTGCGTATTGGGTATTATGAGTACACAGTGCAATGATAAAAAAAAGCCTTCTCCACGTCTAGTGAAAAGCCTTCTCCACGTCTAGTGAAAGTAGCAGGCTACCCTGATTTGAATGCTTAAGACTGTACGTGATGTCTATGACTTTTTGGTGTCCCCTCCTGGTCTCCCTTTAACAAAGCCCACTTGGTCGGGGTGTATAATGTGGGGTAATATACGGCTGAGTCTCGTAGCCAGGAGCTAAATAATTTAGCATCCATATTTAGAGAGAGATGGGGTGGAGGTTTTGTAGATGGCTAACTATATGGGCCAGTAGTGTCTCAGGAGGCAGTGTACGTGAGCGGGTGGCTTCATTGACCGCGTTTGTGAGGTGTGGAGCTAGTAAACTGCAAAACCGTTTGTAGTAGCAATTCGAGAAGCCATCAGGGCTCGACGCTTTGTTTTGCGGTAGTTTATGGTAGAGGATAGAGCTTGCTTTTGTGTCTGTGTCAGTGTCCGTGTGGACAGTGGAATTGAATCTAGATATGTATGTATCCGTTTTGGTTGGGTTGTGTGTGGTGGTATCATCCTGGATATTATATAATTTGGAATAATATTGTGCGAACACATTACTGATATTTCTGGGGGCCAAGATTTTGTCTCCCGTGGGGGACAGTAAGTATGCACTTTTTTTATTGGCATAGTTGGGAAGCCAGCACCTTGCCCACCTTATTCCCGTGTAGGTAGTGTGTGGCCTTAAAGGGACACTCCAGGCACCCAGACCACTTCTGCCCATTAGAGTGGTCTGGGTGCCAACTCCCACTATTCTTAACCCTGCAAGTGTAATTATTGCAGTTTTATATAAACTGAAATAATTACCTTGCAGGGTTAACTCCTCCTCTAGTGGCTGTCTACTAGACAGCCACTAGAGGGCACTTCCTGGTTTCTAGCACAGGAAACCTGTGCTAGAGCGTCGCTGGACGTCCTCACGCTGTGTGAGGACCTCCAGCGTCGCTCATTTCCCCATAGGAAAGCATTGAAATGCATTTTCAATGCTTTCCTATGGGGAGCGCTAATGCGCATGCGCGGCGCATTAGGTCTCCTCGGCCAGTGGGCAGGATCAGTCTCGCCCACCGGCCGACGCAATCAGAGGGAGGAGCGGCGCGGAGGAAGAAGCAGCGACGTGGGACATCGTCGCTGCCTCAGGTAAGTTACTGAAGGGGGTTTTCACCCCTTCAGCAACCGGGGATTGGGGGGTGGGAGGGAGAGGGGACCTGCAGTGCCAGGAAAACGGATTGTTTCCCTTTAAGGTGTTTGAGTATGTATCCTGTCTTGTCAAGCACCTGCTGGTTGAGCAGTCGGGAGACCTGTGCAATTTGGGTCTTGAGTATGTCAGTTGGGGCTATTTGGTTTTGCCTAGTCAAGTTATATAGGTTCTTCTGCCATTCCTTAGTTTGGGTTTGGGCACGTTTTTTTTAAGTAGGAAGCCCTCCATATTAGAAAGCCCCTTGCGACAGCTTTGTGCGCTCAGACACAAGAGGTGTCCTGTGGTTTATTTTCTGAAAAGTAATGGGACATTTGCATCTGTAGGCCACTCAGTCTCGCAGTAGGGACTCATTGAGTCTCCAAGGGCCGCAGTGTCTAGTGTCAAAAAGGTCCTTCAGTGTCAACGTCACCCAGCATGGTCGGACCAACCCTATCTCACACTGCAATACTTGATCCAGATCTCCCCCTCGCATCAATAATCCATCTATTCTCAAGTATGAATTCCCTTTTTATGGTTGCCTCTCCAGACCTCATGGTGATTTTTGGAGTGTGCGACACTGATGTTTTAGAGGGCAAAAATTAGTACTATCATGTGAGTGAGTTGTCAAGGGAGGGATCCATTATGTGGTTGAGTCTCCACATATGATCGTTATGCCTGTTTGTGTAGGATTTTGTGTAGTTTCTCTGTTCCTTGTTGGGGGCATATATATTAGTCACAGTATATAGAATCTTGTTAAAGGTTCCTACCATATCTGCTCTCCCCGTCGAGGAATTGGGAATGAAGCGTGAAGGCAACATTTTTTTATTGATGAGGATCGATGTCCCTTATGTTTTTGTGGTGGCAGTGACCTGGAACTGGTGTGGTTAATCTTTTTGAAGGATGTTAGGATGGGCATCTTTTTGGAAATATTTCCTGAAGACACAATATGTCTGCTCCAAGAGAGCATGCTTCCCTGCTCAGTGAGTGCCTTTTAACTGGCGAGTTCTGTCCCCTCACGTTGTCTGTGCATATTTTCATGGTGGTTTGAACTTTGAGAAAGTTGGAAGATTATGTGTTATTCTCATAGTGTTTGAGGGGCCTGCAATTCCCAGCTGTATCCAGCCTAGCAGGGTGTCCCTCTTATGTGTCTGTCTAACCCTATTGACACTGCAACTGGCGGGATCGTTTTGTGAGCCCATCCTGGAGTCTCTTAAACCAGGGGTGGCGAAGGGGAAAAACCATTGAGGCAACTTTGGGGGTGGGTGGTCAACCAGAAATATAAACAAAAGTATATACAACCAACCAGTGTGGTGTAGGTTGTTATAATAGAATATGAGCACCCTATTCGGTTGCTGGGGGGGGGAGGGAAGGGAGTGTTAAAACTTCTAATGAGAGTAAATGGAGACCTCGAAAGTCGACTGATATTGAAAAAATATAGTAACATTTAAATGGGTGCTCTATCCAGTGAATTGGAAAGCTGAATTGTGGACAGATGTGGTAATAGTGCAGCCGCACCAGGATATCTCTGAGAACATCCACCGGAATAGATTCCCGCTTTTGGACCCGTTGTACTCTGTCTGAGTAGCATGTCTGCAGGCAAGTCAGGCTGGAGGGCTTTGAGTAGGCCCATGATGTGTGCCTGAAGTTCCGCAGGCCCAATTTCTTCCGCCATGTCCTCCAGATCATGTTATAGGCGTTGATTTGTGCCTCAAGGCCTTTGACCTTGGAGGCCAAGTCGTTTTGGCCTGCGGCATAGTCTGCCATTTTATTCTCCACAGAGGCAGGTCTGGTACCAAGCTCTTGAACATCTGTGCATATCTCCCGCAAGAAAGTATGCAGTGTGTGCTGTATTTTTGCCGACATGGCATCCAGCATGGACTGTAACACTCCCTGAGTGATCGGCATGTCTGCGTCCATGGAGTCTGGCATTCTGGGTAAGTCCGCAACGGCATCATCTTGGCTCTCCTCACACAGTAGGAACTGCTTGGTTGGCTGCAAAACATTTAGTGCCTAGATCGAGCGATTTGTGCTTAATTCAGCCGGCCATGAGCGGAGCTAGCTTCACATGCGACACCTCTTCCAAATCAGCTATTTTACTTTTTTTTTTTTTTACTTGGATTTATCTTCCAAATATTCTAAGTTACAGGATACTGTAATCACCAAATCAACTTTAACTTAAAGGACCACTATAGGCACCCAGACCACTTCAGCTCAATGTGTCCATAGGAAAGCATTGAGAAATGTTTTCCTATGGACTGATTGAATGGGCGCCCGGCTCTTGCCGCTGATGACGTCGTAAGAGGGAAGAGAGTCCCCAGAGCCGAGGGAGCCCGGCGCTGGAAAAAGGTAAGAGTTTAATCCCTTCCTTCCCCTACAGCCCGGTGGGAGGGTGGCCATGAGGGTGCGGGGGACCTATTAACATTATCGTGCCAGGAAAACAAGTTTGTTTTCCTGGCACTATAGTGGTCCTTTTAATGAAGCAGTTTTGGTGTATAGATCTTCAATTCTTTCCCATTTAGGAGTTAAATCGCTTATTTTCCTGCTTATGCCTATGACTGATACAGCCTACATGAAAACAAAATGGTTTGATTTTCAGTCTGATAACTTGTTTTAAAAGGTGTGGGGTGTGGTTTTTTTTGGGGGTGGGGTGGTTTTTTAAATCCCCTGCTCTGTAAATTAAACTTTTAATAATGCACAGGAGGATCCTACAATGTCTAGCAGACTATTAACAGTACAGGAGATAAAGTCTAGATTAAAGAGACTGTGAAACATTAGATGACTCTTTACAGGAAGCTAAACAAGCCACATGCAGGGAGGTGTGGCTAGGGCTACATAAACAAAGTGATTTAACTCCTAAATGGCAGAGAATTGTGCAGTGAGACTGCAGGCGTATGATCTATACACCAACATTGCTTCATTAAGTTAAAGTTGTTTTAGTTGACTATAGTGTCCCTTTAAAGGGACACTATAGGCAATCAGATCACTTCAGCTCACTGAAGTGGTCTAGGTGCAATATCCCTTTCCTACTTAGTCCTGCGGTGTAAATCATTGCAGTTTTTGAGGAACTGCAATGATAACAGTGCAGAACTAAGATGGCC